TGTTGTTGTTGTTGTTGTTGTTGTTGTTGTTGTTGTTGTTGTTGTTGGTGTTGGTGTTGTTGGTGTTGTTGGTGTTGTTGGTGTTGTTGGTTGTTGTTGGTTGTTGTTGGTTGTTGGTTGTGGTTGTGATTGTTGTTGTTGTTGTTGTTGTTGTTGTTGTTGTTTGTTTGTTTGTTTGTTGTGTGTTTCGTTTCCGTCCACATGTGGGTGTTTCCTAACATTTGATAGGCAAGTCTTTTACAGATGTCATTTTCTCTGCAGCCACTTAGCCCGTGGAACAGCCGGGTTGATGATGAAATGAGGTTGAACATGTTATTCCCGCATATTTCCGCACTTTTGGCTACTGTGAGGTCATGCGAGAAGCTGAATAGTTTGCTGATCTTTTACCAGCTTGGTTGCTTTCCCGCCAAACACAGGGAGACTAGAACTGCAAGTTGAAACGAAGACTATTCTGACTTTGTACCATCAAGCGGAGTGAAACATCAAAAGACGCTCAACTCCAACAGCCTCAATTCTGGCCAAACCGCGCCCGCCATGACACTTCGGCTGGGGTGCTCAGTGAGGTCTATAGTCAGAGGGTGTTGATGCCGAACAAGCCTGCTGTCACAGGGGAAGAGAAGGGATTCTTACCTCCTGATGAAAGATTTGGGAGGTGTGTCCCTTTGGCATATCAGCTTTCAGAGATGCTGAATACCTACTGGGTGTGTATGGGCAAACAGTTTGGGAGGTTAGTGATACCGCATTTCTTGGCCATGGACATATATGTTAGATGATACCTGGTGGCTATGTTCAACCTGTACTGAGGATTTTGGAGCCCACTGGCTAGTATTTAGTATATATATACACATACGTAACATACATAACATAACATAACATAACATAACGTAACATACCATACCATACCATACATACATACATACATACATACATGTGTTATTACTGTTCAAGTCAGTTGATGCCACCAACCAGATGACGAAACAGCAGGATGTACTACCTGTGTACCAAAGATCACTCGAGGTCGCGGCAGGGGCCTGAAATGACCGTTGCGGAGGACGGTCCGTGTGGAGGGAAGGGAGAGAGCCGGGAGCGAAGGTTCAGAGTCCGTTTCACGTGTTGAGAGCGAAAACACAGTTGGTAAGATTGATAAGGCCAGTAGTCATGATACAATGAGAGGTAGTAACTCTGCCGGAGGGTACTTCAATGGCCCAGTTCATTTGGGTGAAGCAGGAGCCACTTGAGTGAGATGGAGCTTGAAGCGGGGCACACACTGGGCTGAGCTTCTTAAAGATCCCGAACAGTTGTTCAAGGCATGCGAAGCATACTACAGTAGGAAGAAACATGCAGCATGAGTCCTTTCCGAGCAGATGACATCCTGAATACCAGGTAAACATGTTTTCATCTAAGATTAGGTCCATGCCCTAAGGCCTATCAATCTTTGGGCACAGCCCATGCGAAGTATTTTTTTGCAGTAAACTCTACGTGATCATTTGTCTTTTGCTGTACCATGTTGTACCTGTTAGGGTTTTCAGATTCACTTGTCCAATGGTGTCACCCCAAGCGACCGGGTTTGTTTTGAGAGGAGCGGCTTTGTCTCCGGCCCCAGGGGCCTGTGGCCGGGTCGTGGATTCAAGGACATCCAACGGGAGCAAGAATGGATTGAATCACGTTGGGGTTGTGAAGATATCAAACATTGATCCGAAAGGTCATGATTGCCTACAACATGTTCATTTGATGGTTCTCTCTTGGATGTGCGTTGAGCTCAAAGACCCGTGTTTTCTGGCTCCGCAGGTCAGGAGAGTGATCTTGGACGAAAGACACATGCAAGGATGTGATGAAACCACATGTCTATCATGATCTATCATGTATACAGTATATTTATCATAGATCTACTTACTATTATCTATTTCTTTTTCTGTGATGTTTGGGGTTTGTAGACTTGAACATTCTTTGCCACTGGCAGGTGCTGTTCGCATTTGTTCGCCCTGAACAGAGTGGGCTTCCTTTTGGGTTCAGTGGCTAAAATATCCGTGACCTTGAGCAGCATCTCAACGAGTGAATTACTGCCCTATGAACGAAACATATAACAAGACCCATTCTATTCTTTTGAATCCCATACGCATCTACAGCAGCCCATTTGTTCTTTGGACATTGACTTCAAACCTGTCGTCCTGTCCAATCGGACGACTGGTCGGTCCTTGGGCCATACCGGACTCCATGGGCTGAACCGTTCGTGCGAACGTGCGTGGCGCAGCGCTCTCGAGGCCAATCTTCCGTGGCGCTCCGTTCGCTGTCCACGTGTCGGTCTTTGGGACGCAAGGAGCGTGACAGCGGGGGTGGGACGGGTGGGTGCTCAGATGGGGACCACCCAACATGGGTTCTAGGCTGTCCAAGTTGGGTGGTGTCTCCGTATCGGTTTGCACTCCCCGTATTGATGAATGCTGACAGACCAACTTCCGCAGTGTTCAACAAGACTTTCGCGCTTTGTATTTCTACCAGACTCCACCGTGGACAGCAGTGTTTCGACAAAAACAGAGGGTATGTCCACTTGGTATGGTTGATGGATAGGATGAATAGATTCATAGATTGATAGGCTGGTTGGTCCACCTGATCTATTTGCACAGCTCGTTCTCTTGAGCCAAAGTCGGCACTCTGAGAGATTTGTGAAACGTTCGATTGTTGAGTTGTTGATCTTTTGTTGGGAATGAACCCTGTGATCTGGGCTTCCCTAACAAGCTTAATAACCATAATGATATCCATAACTCATGTCTTGAGTCTTGATAGAAAACAACATGAGAAGTAATGACGATTGAAACCCTATTGAGAATCTGCTGATATTGGACATAAGTCCATGTTGGAGATGGTGTTTAACAGGGAGTCAAACCTTAGCGGGTCCCTGGAAGTCTATGTTCCCTTTCGACACAAGAAGTCCTTGCATGGTCCATGCTGAAAGTGGCAGCCATCCAAAACGTTCGTGGCATGACCTTCAAAAAATCAGAAGGACATGCCAACTGCAGGGCTTTGCTTATTAATTCAGGTGCGGTTGCTTTCTTCATACCTGGAGACGAAAAGTGGATCTTGGTGTGATGGTAGACTTGGGACACGTGGGACTTCACGGGACTTTGACATGGACGAGTTGGCTGCAACCAGACCAGGCTATGTGAGATTCTTAAGATGAACGCCGCCCCAGAACATGTTCCACCATGTTCCACCAATCACTCTTGCTCAGCACCACCTTTCAACAGAACAACCTCTACTGCGCTTGGGCTGCACTTTGCGAGAATCCGCTCTACAGAAGTCGCTTTATAAGTTTGGGAAGCATGCAAACATTTGATCAAGACAGACCTGACGGTGAACTTGGACAGTTCGCTCCCCCCGAATGTGTGTGCCATCAGATTGACTTGCGCCCTTGGTGAAAACGACGGGCCGGAGGACATCGGCGTGAAAACGCCGCCTGCATCGGTGAAAACGCCGCGCTCAGGTCAGAGCTGCTGAAACGAGCCCAGGAGCGAGCGAGTCAAACGGAGAATCGCCACGTGGGAGAAGAGTGATTGTCTCACTACATATTAGTTAATTGAAGTTAAACTTGGGGAAAAATCCGAAAATCATGTTGATTTCCGCTGGACGATGCTGGACGGGGTCAGAGAAGCCCAACCCCAAAGAGGCAAGTATATTTAATGTTTGCTGCGCTTTGATACTTCATGTATAGACTGTATAGACTTGCTTCTGACCCCCCTGGTTTTCTTGAGGTGACGGCGATTTGTTATTTTCTCTATATATAATCCCCTTCTGGGGAATACTTTCTATGTTGTTCAGCTTCCTTAAACAAATCCAAGCCCCTTACTCCCTATCCGCCCTATCCTGAAGCACACACTCATCCAAATGATGGTAACCTGTGATGGACGACGTTGTTTTGACACTGAGACGCCCCACTTGTTGGGAGCTGAACGGATTAGTCCCATTCTCACCGTCTACCCGACTACCCGACCAATTCTGTACACCGAGAGACCCAAACGGAATGGAGGTTGGGATATGACCAGGCTTCCCCATATAATATTCGTACAGATGCAGTGCTGCCATCACTGTACAAGTTTACTTGAGAGAACAGAGAGACTGCTTTTGATGGACAACGCCAACTCTGAATGCCCCTTGCGCATCCTTGCGCATCTACCACTGGACACTCGTTAGCCAGCATGGACAGGGTTGATATGTCCCTTAGTCTCAGGATGATTCCGTCGGGCCTTCTGTTGAGTTGTGAGCTTTCCCGTTTGAAGGAGGTGCAGCTCGATGAGGCTGAGATCGAGGCGGAAGGGTCGAGACGGTCGAGAGGACAACTCTGCCGCGATGTTCGGAGACTTCGAGCCCACATCTTGACACTCTTGATCCATTAGCTACTAACTAGTAACTATAATTATAGTAGAATGTTTTGACCTTCCCGTTTCATCCGGTTTCATGTTGTTTTATTTGGGCTCGAAAAAGCTTCCTCCAACGCGCTCACAAGCTCCGTAGAAGATCTTCACGTGCCTCGCAGCAATGACCAAGCGTGGCAACTCCAAGGTGGCTCAGGCTGTGGCTTTGGCCGCCACTGC